CCCTCCGTGTTTTGTAGTTTGTGATACCGCGCGTATTGGTCGCCCCCCCACCCACCCACGCCGCCGCCCTCGCCTTTGCTGCTGCATCATCCACGCCCTACGACTCTAAAAGTGTCGCCGGTTTTCCCCACACGAACCATCACAATCTCGACGATAAATGACTGCAGATTAATTTTGGTTCGTTGAGGTTCGCCGGGCTGTTCGAACCGAAAACACGTGTGAGCTGGTCTGGTGAGCTTGGAAAATGTCACACCGCAGCTAGCAGTATGCCGTGAGTCGGTCCTTGCCGCCTGCTTTTATTTTCATCTTTGCATCACATCCCTTGATGGCACTGCTGCTGTGCTCGTATGAGGCTACTCCGGAGGGGTTACTAATAAGATCAACATTAAAACAAAAAAAACAGGGGGAACGTTCTTGGTGGGGGTGCTGGTGCTCGGACAGACTCCGTCGTGGATGCACTCGTTCACCGCCTGGCCCGCGCTCGCGGTGGCGTGGTGGCTCACGTTCTTCTCGCCCTGGGACCTGTGGCACGGCCGCGCCATGAGCAACAAGGCCTGCGTGTTCTTGGCCGCGTTCGGGAGGGCCGTGTCGGCATCGCACGCCATCACGTCGTGGGGGGCGGACAAGGCGAGAGCCAAGCTACTATGCTGCTGCTGCTGCTGCTGCTGCTGCTGCTGCTGCTACTGTACTGTGTATGCGTAGCAGGAGTGTTTTTATGTGACCGACATGCATGCTGTACCACATCAAGATAAAGAGGATTTTTGTGTGTTGTGAGGGAATGTTCAAGAGTGAATGACGCGGTGTGGTGTGTTTCCTGTGTGTGCCGGGGGGGGGGCGGGGGGCACACGGAGGGGCTACGTTGTTGGGAATGGGGAGGGATCGGGGACATGGGGATCCTCGTGAAAGCATACCTGAATTCTGAGAGAGAGAGAGAGAGAGAGAGAGGAGAGAGATAGAAAGGGGAATGAATGTTCACCTTAGTTGGGAATGTAGCAGCATCAGATGCGCGTTCCACCTTTGCTGTCTCTCGCCTGGGAAAAGCACTTCACCAATCGGTATTTCCCCCTTGTGTCGAGCACGCTTCCAAGCTGCTTGCTTTTCCCCCGTGCCTCCCCCCCCTGCCCCGCCCTCGCTCCCACTCCGACCCATGCGTTACTCTCGGCACTGTAGGCTCTTACCGCACACTTCGAGAAAGCTAAGATGTCTGCGATCTGCACGATCCTTTGCGGCACGCTGGCGGGCTGCGGCGGCGGCATCCTGGCCGACCTCCTCAAGTGGGTTAACTTAACGAAAAGCACCGAGCGAAAGATTTGGGTGTGGCGTTACCCTGTAGTCCAGTCCAGTGCTCGTGGAGTTGTTCGCTCTCCCGACGGCTCGTTGCGCACCGCACCTCTTGAAAACAATCGTCTCCGTCACTACTTGGTCAGCTGTTTCTGGAAAGTATGAGTACAACAATCACAGAAAAGACTACCCGTTCGAGATAGAACCACAGCGGTCACTTGAACGGGGGTGCTCTGTCTGCTACTTTGTTTGCGGTTTTGCTAGGATGCACGCGGAGTTCTCACCTCGCGTGCGCCCTTCCCCTCCGACAAACGATCTCTTGTTCATCTACCACCATCACCGCCGCTCCCCGTGTATTATATGCGTACTTCGAAAAGTAGGGCTTTTATCCGAGCTATTTATGTCGTTTGCTGTTGCGTCAGCTGCTTCTGCCGCTGCTGCCCTTACATATCGAATTGCATCCTAGGCGTTGTCACGTACCTGGTGCTGTTCTGTACTGCACGACACAATGCGTTTGCCACCCGTCAGGCTCCGTCTGCCGAGCGGGTGTATGGAGATGTCTCGTTGGCGAAGGAGAACGGGGGTGTTTCCACGATGGTGTTACCGTGTTTGGGTGCCCACGATTATAGACAAAAAAGTCCACGTGTCTGACGTAGATTTAGACGCCAGCCCAAGTAGCGTGTGCTTGATACGACCGGTCACACGTCTTTTTCCCGCGTGAACAACAAACGAAATTTCCAACGCGGAATGAATGCCCGTTTCGTCCCCCCCGGCGCTTTGACTGCTCAAGCCTGGACGGAGACAGCTGGAACCTTCAGAGAACCCCTCAGGCGCTAGCGTCGCCGTCGTTCTCGGTGCAGCGCTGTTTCGGGGCATCCTGTCTCTACTACCTCCTAGCAGATCCTCACGGGTATCTCTCGGAAGACGCTGTGAGTCGGCGACTCAGTGACAATTGTCAAAAAAAAAATTGTGGTGTGCGCTTTCTTCTTGCTCGTGTTGCCATGTTGTGCTGTTAAAAACATCGACCGCGGTTACCGCCTGACCGATTAAAGGTATTGTGTCTCTGTGGGACGAGTAGACACGGGGAACGCTTCTTAAGGCAGACCATGATCTGGGACCCCATGTGTGTGTGTGTGTGTGTGTTTACCATGGAAAGATGGGTGGGCGTAAGCAATATACCCGTTCGGCGTTTATCATCCAGTGTGAACCTGTAATTTTGAACGCGTGTGTTTTGCTCTCTTCCCCTCCTTTGTTTTCCCCCTGCTTTTACCCGCCCGGCGTGCTGTTCTTGTCGTTGTTACTGCTGCTGCGGTCCCCCCAGCCCTTCCCTCTGTCGTTGCTCGGCCGGCTTTCGGTGGACCACGGGAACGGACCGTCAACCGAAGCTGCCGCGATGGTCGCCGTGTACGTGACGGCCAACCACTTACTGGACTACTTTATCCCTCGCGTAAGTCTCGTTTTTTTTTATAATGGTCCTGGTGTTGTTGTTGTTGTTGGCGATTGTTGTTTGTGGGCGATTTTGGTGTCTGTAGTGGTGGAATTTTCAAGCATGTAACCGTTCTCGGACTGGTGTGATTTTACGGCCGATCAAGCTGCATCTTGTCGATGATCGCGTCGAGTGCGGGATGACCCACTTCTCACCGCCCGTCCAATCTACTTTGACATCTCTTTATCCCTCCGTTTTTGTCTTCCTTCTTGCTTTCCTCTGTGCCCCTCCTCCTCCTTATCACCTCTCGCTCGTCTCCCTCCCCGGGGTCTTCCCCTGTATTCACCTCTACAATTCACTTCCATCGTCATACCTCCTATCTCCGCGTCTGTTTCCACCCCCCCCCCCCCCCCC